CGTTTTATTTACAGGGTGGTAGTGGCAAAAACAGGCAATGAAGCACGAGTAATTACAAACGGAAACCTAAACTGGGAGAAACTAAGTGACAAACCTGGGACCATACAAAGGGGTGCGGGGCAGAGAGACGCAGAGACAGGAACACCATAGAACGCAGATGAATGTAGATTAACGCAGTGATACATGGATGAACGCAGACGAGCCGACAACGAACACAGACCGACACCCACTAAATATACCCACACAAGGTAATCAGGTAATCACACACAGGAGGGAAGAACAGCTGAACCTACTACACCTGGGGACCGGAGGAGACAAGCTGAACACAATAACAACAGACACAGACCTTCAGAACAGAACAGGAAATCCAGAACACGAGCCTTCAAAATAAAACAGGAAACAGACTGATGTACAACACAACACGGGGACATGAACAGAGCACCAAGGACAGACACAGGTAGGGCTGACAATACACCAAACTTCAGGTTAACCCTAACTAATACAGATCAGAAAAAACGCAAAACGCTGGGTCAACGACCCAGGACCATGACAGTGCACCTGTGTGTAATCTAATGTCAGTACAAATACAGCTGCTCTGTGACGGCCTCAGAGGTTGTCTAAGAGAATGTTGGGAGCAACAACACCATGAAGTCCAAAGAATACACCAGACAGGTCAGGGATAAAGTTATTGAGAAATTTAAAGCAGGCTTAGGCTACAAAAAGATTTCCCAAGCCTTGAACATCCCACGGAGCACTGTTCAAGTGATCATTCAGAAATGGAAGGAGTATGGCACAACTGTAAACCTACCAAGACAAGGCCGTCCACCTAAACTCACAGGCTGAACAAGGAGAGCGCTGATCAGAAACGCAGTCAAGAGGCCCATGGTGACTCTGGACGACCTGCAGAGATCTACAGCTCAGGTGGGGGAATCTGTCCATAGGACAACTATTAGTCGTGCACTGCACAAAGTTGGCCTTTATGGAAGAGTGGCAAGAAGAAAGCCATTGTTAACAGAAAACCATAAGAAGTCCTGTTTGCAGTTTGCCACAAGCCATGTGGGGGACACAGCAAACATGTGGAAAAAGGTGCTCTGGTCAGATGAGACCAAAATGGAACTTTTTGGCCAAAATGCAAAACGCTATGTGTGGAGGAAAACTAACACAGCACATCACTCTGAACACACCATCCCCACTGTTGAATATGGTGGTGGCACCATCATGCTCTGGGGGTGCTTCTCTTCAGCAGGTACAGGGAAGCTGGTCAGAGTTGATGGGAAGATGGGTTGAGCCAAATACAGGGCAATCTTGGAAGAAAACCTCTTGGAGTCTGCAAAAGACTTGAGACTGGGGCGGAGGTTCACCTTCCAGCAGGAGAACGGCCCTAAACATAAAGCCAGGGCAACGAGGGAATGGTTTAAAACAAAACATATCCATGTGTTAGAATGGCCCAGTCAAAGTCCAGATCTAAATCCAATCGAGAATCTGTGGCAAGATCTGAAAACTACTGTTCACAGACGCTGTCCATCTAATCTTACTGAGCTGGAACTTTTTTGTAAAGAAGAATGGGCAAAGATTTCAGTCTCTAGATGTGCAAAGCTGGTAGAGACATACCCTAAAAGACTGGCAGCTGTAATTGCAGCAAAAGGTGGTTCAAAGTATTGACTCAGGGGGCTGAATAATTACGCACACCCCACTTTGCAGTTATTTATTTGTAAAAAATGTTTGGAATCATGTATGATTTTTGTTCCACTTCTCACGTGTACACCACTTTGTATTGGTCTTTGACGTGGAATTCCAATAAAATTGATTCATGTTTGTGGCTGTAATGTGACAAAATGTGGAAAAGTTCAAGGGGGTCAAATACTTTTGCAAGCCACTGTATGTGCTGAATTGTCTCAGGGGCATCCTTACACAGCCTGCACCTGGGGTCTTGCTTGGTGTGATAGACCTCAGCCTCTATGGATCTTGTGCTCAGAGCTTGTTCCTGTGCTGCCATGATTAGTGCCTCTGTGCTTTCTTTCAGTCCAGCTTGGTAGGATTTTTAGATATCAGCCACTTCCTCTATCTGCTGGTGGCACATACCATGCAGGGGCCTGTCTTTCCACAATGGTTCCTCCTCTTCTTTCTTGGGTTTCTGCTGCCTGAGGTATTCACTAAGCACGTGGTCAGTTGTGGCCATCTTCCTGATGTACTCGTCGATGTTTGTTGTTTCATTCTGGACAGCTTTTCTGACACTCACCAGTCCTATGCCTCCTTCTTTAGCCCACTTCGCATCGGTGTGTCCTGGCTCCTCAACACCTGATTCCTGTTAATTCGGCCGACGTCCAAGCTGGTATGGCTTTGGCATTACCACTATAGTATCCTGTGTGTGTGTGTGTGTGTGTGTGTGTGTGTGTGTGTGTGTGTGTGTAGACCAAAGTCTTGCAAGTCTCCTCTCTGGTATATTGTATTTAAGCAAAACATACCATATGTCTCTTAATTTACACCCACTAACGAGGAGATAATATTCGCTTCAGAGTTGAACTTTATTAGTATCTGAATTGAAAACGTACAGAATATTTATATCCAAGAATGTGTTGCGATTGTGCAATCTCAGTGTCAGGCAGTGGGTGTTCAGACACTCGTCTTTCTAGAGGTCACTGCACAGCTTTGCCATACCATTGAATAATCAGCCTTCACATGGTTTAAGAAAAAAAATATAGATCCTACTGACAAATGCGTGGTTTACAGAAATACAAATTATTTATGGAAGTGTCACACAGATGGCTGGCACATTAAAGGAAAAAACACAACACACAGTATCTTAGTAAGGTTCCATCAGAGTTCAAACAGGGTGCTCCCATGAGAATAGGAAGGCTTCATACTATAGGTTTATAGGAATAAAGTGATCACTCATAACAACTTTGCACTGACTTGCTTTAAGGGACCAGATGGACCAAAAGCATACCGACATGCTAAAGCAAGGAGGTCATAGGTTTCAGGTTTTTCCCTGTCATTTGTCACATTCCTGCATGTTTCAGCGCTTTTATTTAAAAAAAAAAAAAAAAGAAAAAAAAATTAGGCAGCAGAAGCAGAAGCCTGAGCTTGATGTGCACACTGGAGATTACTTTATTGCCTTCTATTCTGTAATGCTGACTGAGGATGCCATGTGGAGAAGGGGTATTATTCATTTTTAAAACTTTTAAAGAATCCTGCTGGGAGCCTAAAAAATGTTTGAATGCCTTCTGTGTTTGCGTCGAGCTTGTTCAGACACAAAAGATACACTCAAAGCTTACCACAGTGCGACAAGGCGATTATTAAAAAAAGATCCATTTTGGTGTGCTCAGTGATTTTTGTGCATCCTCTGTTCTTACACTCCTTTTGGCAGAGACCAAAGCACATCCGCGTCTTTGCTTTGTGAAACGGAATGATGCATTTTACCGTATGGAGTCAAAGGAAGAAAAGTTTCATCCTACAGTCTGCATGTTCAAGCTACACAAACAGCACAGAAATCTGCTGGACAACATTTGAAATTATTCTGTGTATGTATGTGTATCTGTATATGTGTGTGTCTGTGCTGAGTGCCTCTACACACAGCTCTGAGGTAGAGTGCTGAGATACAAGTATTGCACTACTGGGGAGTTAAGAAGAGCTCTGAGGTCAAGAGAGCACTTCGCAGTGCCCTCTGGTGGAGGATCAGATGAGCTTTGATGGCCACCCATCAGGCCTCTACTCCTGCACATACTTAATCGTGTAATTACAATCACGGTAATGAACAGATTCTTGTGAGGGGCATAAGTTTTTCCTATTAGTTATGTGACTCACCGGGATATCTTCCAAGGGAAAATTCCCACATTCACAGAGTGGGAACTTTTAGTCTTTTTCAGTGACTTTAAGCACTTGATGAGTTTTTGTAAACAAAAACTGTAGATGAAGTGGTCAGAAATGCAGGGTCAATCTCTGGGTGCCTGGGAAAAAGACAGTGTGGGATGTTTGAACAATGAAATCACGCATGTGAATAGGATGTCCGCGGTTAGTTGTGATCAAAGGTTATTAAATGGGAGCTGAATAAATGAGCGTGTGCATAAAACTGCATGCAGCCATGCCCAGTGCAATGTTTTTAAGTGATGTTGATTTCTTATCATTTCTAAAGGACAACTGATTATATCCTTCGAACCCCATTTTTATTAATAAGAATGATAAAAAAAATGAATCTCATCACAGCTCATAATTTCAGTGACATTTAACAGCGAGTGTTAATTTCATACCCGCAATCAATCTGAAGAAGATTTCCTGTTGTTTTTCTTATTTTATGAGCTGTGTAACAACACACGGCGGTTGATTCTGCATTTCAATGATACACCGCAGAATGATGTGAGGAGGTTCTGGTGAGCTCCATGGCGAGTGCTGCATGAATCGATTCTAAATCACTGTTCTGAAATTAACAAGATGGCCTCCTGTCGGGTGGTGCAGGATTGTGGTAGGACTCGACTTAAGCGGTCAAAGAAGTGCAGGAGACTGATGCTGTCCAGTGTAGCAAGTGATTTATTCACCATTCTGTGGCCCAAGAATATTTACAAAGAAACAAATAAGAAACTCAACTCTATAATAAACTCAATTCAAATAAACATAACTGAACTTAAATCAACGGAAATTAAGGTCAAACTGCACACAGCTACACTGACCTGAACCCTTCTCCTGAAACACCTGAGTTCGTCTGCTTAAATAGTCCCCTTAATCAAACACTTTCTCCTCTGGACTATTCCATTCAGTAGGTAGGTGAGATGAACATGATTATATTCATCCTCTACTACTCCTCTTGACTGGCAACATAAACTCTGGTGTAATCAATACATATCACAACATTAAATCTATTTCTTTATAAACCCTTTAAAATCAACTTTATTAAATTATAAGAATTCTTCCCCTCCTGCCCTTGGTCTCTTCCTGTGACCTCAGATGAACCCAGAAGGTATAAAGCAGGAAGTAGAACTACATTTCCTCCTTTTGCTTCTGGAAGACAGGTAGGTAAAGGTAAGTTCAAACAATACAAATTAACAGTTGAAATAAATAACATGTTAACTTAACAAACTTGCATGAATTGATTTAAACCAAGATGTTATATTATATAATCTGTAAAAGTGCAGAACATAAACAAACCCGGGATAGTAGATGTTTGCCTATTGCAGATTACATGTGAAATATGGTTAAATCAAAACAAGAATGTTAACTAAGAATGTAGACAAATGGTCTTCTCACCCACTTTGTCACAAGGATCTTGATAACTTGAATAATGCTGAAGTCGTTTGAAAGGAGGTTTTGAATATCCCCCCTCAAAAGAAACAAAACTGTCCCATAGACACTATTAGGATATGTCTATGTGTGTAGGCTTCGTGCAAAATTGACACCCACTCTTGTGTCCCACCAGTGTTGCAGCTCAGCTCTATGAATTCAGCAGCACTGGGCCTATTTTTTAGGTGTTTATGTGAGTTACGATGTTTCTTCCCAACAGACCTTGGCTGTCTTTCTCTCTCGATCGGTGCATCTCTGTCTCTTTTGTTTCTCTTCCTTTGTCTCTTCATCTCACTCACTCTGCTTTTCTCTTCCTTTCTTTTTACTCAGTGCACAGGGGCCATTGTAAAACACTGGCCTGAGTCCCAAGCCCTCAGGAGGCTCAGAGGCTCAGGGTTGACTGATCGCTGGATTTCACCACAGGCTCCCAGAACGGGGATTGTTGAAGAAGCTTTTCCTTCCCACTGAGACCCCTGTGGATTAAGGATTCCTGGCTTCTGTTGCAATAATAAGGCCTCACACACTGCCAAAAGAAAAGACTGCAGCAAAGCTCTGCACTGCTTTAACCGAACATTCTGTACATTGTCACATTTTGCACCTTTATAATTTGTTCTTTTTATTTTGCGATCTGCTCACGTTGAAAGAGTGCAGTTAAATCTGTGTTTGCAATTGAATAATCTAATTCCTGACATATTTTCTCCATGAATATGTACTTAAAGATTGAAAAGGTTGTTGCATAGGCTCCTGCCCACATACAGACACCAGTTCAAATAAACACATCGGTGTCTACATACATTACTGTACATATATAGATGCCAGTAGCAGCTTTGTAGCAACTAAGATGCACTGAAAAAAGATGCATATGTTTCCCTTGTTGCTCTTTGCTTGCACTTTATTACTCACTCAGCACTCTCTGCTGTGAGTGCCAATAGGTCGAATCAGAATGTCAGAGTGAGTCAAGCGCAATAAAGCTGAAACAAATCAGAGCCTATAAAGATACTAAGAGGGAAGATGGAAAAGGAAAAGTTTATAAAAACAACAACTATAATGTCTTTTTAATCATCTAAACAGCAGTGTCTGCAGCTTCAATAAATACATGAAATGCTTTCAAACACAGATAAAAAGATATGAACATATTTGGTGTTGTTTTTTAAAAATATTAGAATTTCTGTAAAAATGACAATAATATGTGAAAATGTTTAAATATCATGTATAATGTATAGATATATAGACTACACATTGTTGTTAGTGTTTGATATTTCATCTTATTATTGATAAGTCATACATTTTTGCAGCCCAACATCACGGCCATATTCACACTAGCAGGAAAAATGTAAATGTTATGGCATAAAACATCCAAGCTAGGTTTGAAAAAGTAATGAAAGGCTGATATTTGCATTCTTAATATTTTTATGACTGAAAAGGAGAAACCAGGTGATCTCAGTTAAACCGGAACAGCTTTAAGCAGTTTCACTGACAGCTGAGCTAGCACTAGCAGCTACACAAATCGCTGTTGGTAGCTGTACCTTTACACAGCTGTACAATAACAACCATATGCAGCAATTTAACATCTATACCATGTGGCATTTTCAGGTAAGCTGAGTGGCATGTTAGATTTTTAGCTCGCAAACTGACATTAGCCGTGCTTGTTCCTGGGTGGATGTTTGTTTGCTAGCTGATTCAGGAGATCAAGAGAAGCAGTAGGCACATTTCCGGCTTGTGGAAGGGGAAGTATGTTTGTGTTCTGCATTTTCATCTTGGTATAGAAGGCAAACCGTCTGTAAACAGTGTTAAGCATTTTTTAGAAATCATTTCCCAACAAGCAAGTCCCACATCAAAAGTAATTCATCTGTTTTAAAGGATTTATACAATATGCTGATGGACTGTTGCTGTGTTAAAACATAAAAGAATGAACTGAGACTGGAGAAGTCTCAGTTGGATAAGTGATGCAATATCTCTCCCACTGAAAACAAATTTCCTAAGTAATGAAAACGGGGGACTTGGTATCCATCTATCTCTATCTAGCGATGCACTGCACCAATAAATATCCATTAATTTGAGCTCTTTCTATTTTTTTTAAACTAATTGAGTCTATAGGAGAAACTGAGAAACAAAGACGCAAGGGACAGGATGGAACAACCAAGATAGAGACTGGGCCTAAGTCCCTGTTAGCCACCTCCACACAGTGGGACGCTTATGTGATGTTGATTGGCTTTGGTACAGTAGCAGTACTCATTGCTAATGACATATCCAGGCAACTGCAATTGAGCTGTAGTTCCAGATGGCTCTCTGCGGTGTTTTTGACGCCACAGCCTTCTCCATGCAAATTAGTAGCAGAGACTGACCACCATTAGCTCTTTATGGAAGTCAGAATCCATTAACACCATTGTGTTAATGGAATCTGACTTCTGAATTTCAATCTGACTTGGCACTGCCTCAAAAAGCCACTGCTCTCTCATCATCATGCTGTCCTTCTAGCCCTGCAATAAAGCGGGGACAAAATGATCTGTGTTTTGGACACAGTTGTGAACAGTCAAACAGAGCCTTCTGGAGCCACAATTTCTACCAGTTAATACAAAGAAATGTAATTTAATGCAGAGAAAGAATGTAGTAAATGAACAGTAATGACAAAGTTGGACTCTAACACAGCAGCACTACTGATGCGACCAGATGCTAAATTCTGCACAGTTTAGAGACTTGACACACTGCCAGTTAATTAATTGTGTCTCTCTAGTGCAAAATACTACCAACACACCAACCGACATCCTCCAGGCTGAGTAGCTCAGAAAGCATCCATCTTAGTGGCCTCCTTCAACTTGAGCAGTATATTTTAAAGTAAGCTGGACAAATGACAAAGGGACAACTTTCCTATTGTACAATAGCAGGGATTACAGAAACCCTCTTTCCTGCTCTCCCTAAGGTGAGGGGAAAAGTAATTGCTGGACTTTTGGACTTGATAAAACCAAGCTAGAGATAAATGGGCAGCCTCCATGGTTGAGTCTCAAAGGAAAACTAGACAATAAGTCTTTTGTTAATCCTTTCCCCTTGCTTTGCGATCTCTGAAAAAGCAGTTGACAGATGTTTAAGAGAAGGAGAAAGTGGTAGATGTGGTGGTGGATCTCAGTGCTGTTAACAGTCAGATACTTGCTTTGAGTTATTCTTTTATTTGGGTTTATATTTTGCTACTGCAAAAATGTGGATCAAACATGATCCTACAAAGGTCTTTCAGTATCTGTCTACAGGCTATGAGCTACTGTGGAGAACTTGTTTGTCTTTCTACTGATATTGATCGGTCAGATTTCATAGTACCACAAAATTGATAGACTGTATCCCTCAAAACATGATGGAGATACATGAGCTGATACATAAGTTGTGAATATTAGCTCAAATTCACACAGATATGCAGCAAATCAGCCTTTTCCACTGTTTACAATGTCTGCACACCAGCAGGTGCATTGCAAAGATATACAAAAAGCCAATGCTATTAGGGTTTTTCACTCTGTTATAGCTGCAAAGGCCTGGTTTCAAAGCAAAGAGCTAGAAAATGAACACTTTACACAAATTTATGAGCTGGTTAATTATTTAGACACACCTCCACCAGTTCCTTACTGAGGTAGTACTTGCTGAGAGGCTGGAGTCAGGAAGCATGAGTAAATAGTATGATACTATCCGATGGTAGCAGGTGCTAACCTACCTACAGCTAGCTTGATCGGTTAATAACTTGCTGATAGTCCCTTGAACACCAGCAGAAACTGTGTTGCTGGTGTTTGACGTCAGCCTCCACCGCTATTTTCAAATATCTATGTGGTGATATTTGGAGAATTAGCAAACACTAGTTGATAGAAGTTGCATATTTGTGGAGAGACCGTACCATGCACAAAAACAAAACAATTTAATTTCAGTCCTCATTTTATTGGGTGCACAGGTCATGTGGCACAGTAGGTTTAGTCTAACTCAGACCCAGAGCAAACAATATTGTTTGACTGATGGCCCTTAATATAAAGACTTCGGACTTTACGTTTCCCAATTTTTGCTTTGAGTTATTTTGTTATTTACATAATAATGTAAATAACCTAATAATGATCCTTATTGCTGTTTTAGAGGAGCGGTGCTTCAAAGGATAGTTGCAGATTTCTGTCAGAATCTGCAGATTATACAGTACAAATAAAATGTTCACGTTTCTCCAATGTTGTCTTCCCAACAGTTTCACTAACATCTACACTTATTGGCCAGGAAGCGTTTGCGATGTCTTCTCCGGTGCTGATAATTGGCGTCTGTCTTGTGTCAGTGACGTAAAAGACGGATTTAATGCGACATGACCGTTTAAACAGCAGTCGCTTTCTAAAATATCGGATATGTATCGGATTCAGTGCCACATACGAAAGTGACCCAGATCGGATTTGAAAATATCGGATTTGTGCCGTTCACACTGTCATACTACGATCGGATATGGGTCGCATAGGGTCAAATAAATCTGATTCGATGCGCTTTCACCCGCAGCGTGAACGTAGCCTTTGAATATTTGTTAGTGTAAGCCCACTGTGTCAATACCTCAAACCTCATACATGCACTGTCAGAAATGTCTGACACACATTACCTTTATAGTCTAAATGCCTTTAGACTTTAAAAGTTATCGTATTCTGGCTGACTGTATTCAGATTTATGTCTAACAAGCCTTACAAATATCACAATTTATCAGTTATAGCACATCATGTTTTGCATTATTTGTAAATTCTGTTGTTGTAACCAGCTAAAAGACCTTGTAGATTATGATCTGCAAAACTCGAATTAATCGCTGACCCAGGTGTATAACTGATTATACTGCATCTTGTTACAAGTCAGCTTGGGGTAACAGAAATTAGCCAAAATCAGTAGCCAAACAAAAGAATAATCAGAGATGCTCTTTCAGAGGTAATTAATCAAATTCTCGTAAGTGAACGCTGGTTTGTGAGCCTTGCAGAATAGCAAATGAAGCCCCTGCTGTAACCTGCTGAGTCTCTTCAAGGATGAGCTTTCATCTGCAGCATCAGTGAGAACCAGTGCAGTGCTAATAATGGGCAGGGTCTCCCTTTGCTCTCAAACAGCCACAGCGCTTTATGATTTGGATTTTTCAAGATTTTTCATTAATTCCTTTGAGATTCTGCTGACATGATCGGATGACATCAGATAATTGTCAGCTATGTATTCCTGCTATACATTTCCTGTTGCCAGAGAAGTTCTATTTTATTTAAACGGCAGAGACCACTGAAGTCCACTGAGCTCACTATTAGGCTCATATTTCAGACAACTTCTGTTTTTCTGACATGCTGCGTTATCAGACTTCAATTATTCATTAGAGTCTTTAAACAAAGAATGACTGACAATAAGTGGGCCAAGAAAACGATCTCCACACTATCATGCCTTAGCCTCAGATGTACTGCATATACTGTTAAGCAGACACTACTACACACAGCTGCAGCTGAAAGAAAGAGAGAGATGCACCACCTCCCACTTCCAGCATAAAAGAGTAACATAGGCTATAGTAGTCAGTGAGTACCAAATGCTGTTAACCTTCTTTATATTGGTTGAGATAAAAGTAAAATTAGGGTAATGAAAAGGGTAAAAGGTATCAAGGCACCACAAAATCTTGTTATCAGTTAGTTTTCTTGAAGCTTAAACTAACTCTTTTAAAATTTTGTTTAAAAATGGTTAATACTGCCAACAATAGTATAAATTAGTTAACATGACTGTAATAACTTGTTAAATGTTAAACAATGTTAAACTGACTTTTTCTCCTAACACAAGGTTCATTTTATGCTGTTTTACAAAAGCAAATACTTTAACAATGACAAAAACACACCCAATACATGAGCCTTCCTCATGACAGTAAATGTAGTAACTGATGATACTTCGACTGTTTCACTCCTGTTGATGTCTCTGAGCTAACGTCAGCATTTGTTTTATCCAAACCATAGATGTCTCCATTAGATATCTCCATTAGACACAATCCATACAGGGCTGTTTAAAAAAAATCCTACCTTTGATTTTAATTATTATCAGCTCATCATTATTAGTAGGCTACGAACAACAGGCTTTTAAGGCTGCTGTATTCAAACCATTACACAAAGCCCTTACTTTACCCAACTGTCTTAGCTAATTATAGACCAATGTCCAACATTTCATCATCTGAAGAGTTTCAGTCAACATTTGGAGTTCGTAACAGCACAGAGACAGAACTATTCAATTCCATTTTATTCATATAGCGCCAAATCAACAGTTGCCTCAAGGTACATATTGTAAGGTAAGACCCTACAATAAAGAGAGAGAGAAAAC